GATTTTTATGGTTTTGCATTTTACATTTTTAGGCCTATGATTCATTTTGAGTTAATTTTTGTGAAGGGTGTAAGGTCTGTGTCTAGATTGTTTTGCATGTTGATGTCTAATTCTTCCACCACCATTTGTTGAAAAGGTTATCTTTGCTCCATTGTATTGCTTTTGCTCTTTTGTCAAAGATCAGTTGACTATACTTGTCTAGGTCTATTTCTGGACTCTCTATTCTGTTTCACTGATCTCTTTTTCTCTTCTTTCAACAACACTGTGCTGTGTTGATTACTGTAGCTTTATAGCAAGTCTTAAGTCCTATAATATACATATTTTGTGATAGTAAACAATAAGTATGTTTTGGAATCAAATACACTAACTATAAAATGACTGTGGCAGCATTCTATTGTTGTCTATATTGGGAATAATTTCTATAACATTATTAGAAATTCTTTCTAGAAAGTTTGAAAGATTTCACTGGCTTTTCAATTTTATAAAATAATATAATAAATATCTCAGATACCTCTTTGTACAGAATCAGGATAATTTTCTAAAACATAATCCTAGACCTGATATCCACTTGTATTTTCTTTCATTTATTCTAATGACTCATTTTTTTAAACATTTAAATTTGCATGGACCCATAATGTGAAGAAGTAATATAATAGTCATTTGGTTTTTACAAATGTAAAACTGATTATTCCAGTAGCAGTAACTTTTGAATACATCCTTTTTCTGTTGATTGAAATGCCAATTTTATCATATGCTACATACCCATTTTTATTTTAAGCCTAGAAATCCAATCTACTTTTCTATTGAATTTATCACCTGTTTGGGGGTTTGAGCCACATTGTTTTAAATATCATAGTTCTGCATAACTTTATAATATATAGTACCATCGCAGCTCCCCCTAAATCTTTCTAAGATGGATCTTCAGTGTCAGACCCCTTCAGATCCAGGAGCCTTTGGGGAAGGGTTCAGAGAGAACTGGTGCACTGAGTAGACAGAGGAAGAGTTTCATTCCTCTCCTCTGCTCCAGCCTACTTCTACTCCCCTGGTGCCAAAATTCAGACATCCTAGTATCTCGTTTTATTCTAGTTCCTATGTCAGAAACAAAGTTGACTATGTTCATTTCTAAGTTTGTTCCTAGTGCTATCCCAGGATTGAAACTCGGAACCTCTCAATACTAGATTGAATCCAGTATTTGACTCTATGTGATATTACACTACTTCCTCATTTCTAGAGAATGACAAACTTTCAACTTCCTGAAGCCAATATTTTTTCTTGGAAGTTGGTTGAGGATGAGAAATAGAAGGCCTGAATTAGCTTTCTCACCCTCCCTTCAGTCCATTGCTATCCTTATTATATCTAGCAGGCATTCTTTGAAAATTTTAACAGATTAGTGTCCTATCCCTAGTTGTCAACATTAACACATGAATTTCCTTAATTATATATTTCCTTGATTATTTCCATGGGAATTTAAGTAGGATGAATACTTATGCCAGTAACAAAGAAAAACAAAAAGATATAAGATGGAGATTTCCTTAATTACATTTTATTTAATTCATTATACACACACACACACATACACACACACACACACCTGTGCTATAATCCTCTCCAACTGTCACAATGGAAGATCACCCTTGTTTCCTAATGCCAATATCTGCAGGTACTGGTATCTCCAGGTCTTATCCCCTTCTGTGTTTTCTGGAGCATTTCTCTGTTACTCCCTTCCACTCTCAACTACAGGGGTGATTTCCATTGGCTTTTAAATAGTTTCAAATCTCTTTTGTTAACAAAATAAAAATAAAACTATAAACAAATGTTTTCCAGACCCTTCATTTACCTCTGGCTATTTCATATTTTTTGAAACTAAACTTTTTTGACAAGAAGTTCATTCTCCTGTTCTTATTTCTCCTCTTCTCAATTTCCTCCAATCTGGGTTATGTTCACTTTTGTTTTACCTCAGCTAAATTAAGTAACACACACCATTTCTCTTAATATAATGGGCATATTTCAGTC